TATATCAGCTATTCTGGCCTCTTAATCCTAGAACAACTCTTAGCCCTCCCTGAATTTGGACATTGTATCTCAGAGACAGAACCAACCTAACCACTGTCAACCATAGCTGCTCTCTTCTCGCCTCCTTGCAGCCCCCCCCGGTTCACCACTAGAATGCCTTCCACCCTCAGCAAACCCCAGATCTCTCTATAAGGCCTCATACTCCTGCCATTTACAGGTTACAAGGCAATGCCCCAGCTCCGGTCAGCGTCGTTCTGGCATCGGCAAACCAAGGGCACCGAACAGAGCAACTCAGTAGATATCTGTCCGGGTTCAACCATCTCAGAAGTCCTATATCCCAAATGTGGGAGAAGGCTAGATGCTGCCAAAATTTCAGAACACCAAAAAGCTTAATGTAACATTAATCAGATGATGATACTAATGATGATAATGATGATGATGAATATGATAATGAATATGGTGGTTAGTATATAGAAAATATAGAAGACTATGCTATAACAGCACTTCCGGCCTCCTAATCCTAAACCCTCCCCTCCCTCCCTGCACCAGGACATTACATCTCAGAGACGATACCCTTCCGAACCAATGTCTTCCATAGCTGACCTGTCCTCACCACCTAGACTATCCCTGGCCCCATAGGTTGTCAAGGCAGCCCCCTTAGTTCGCCAATGAATTGCCTTCCTCCCTCGGCAAATCCCTAGAACTCTCTACAAGGCCTCACACTCCTGCCAATTGCAGGTTACAGGGCAACGCCCCAGCTCCGGCCAGCGTCGTTCTGGCATCGCCAAACTAGGGGCAAAGACAAAGCAACTATGTAGATATCGGTCCAGATTCAATCATCTATGAAATCCTATATCTCGATTAAGGAAGGATGCCAGATACAGCCGAGAATTACAGCACACCAGAAAGCATGATATAACATAGATAATAATGATGATGACGTTGATTTTGATGATGAGATGATCCAGCAAAAATCCAGCAAAAATCCAGCAAAAATCCCCCCTCTCCCATCCTTCCTGCATTCTCTCCATTCCCCTATCTATCCCTTTACCCTAAACTGCCCCCGCTGGGATTTGATGCCCAGCCCCAGAAAAGAGTAATCCTCACAATCTGCCCATGCCCCCTCCAGGGTTTCACCACCCGCCTAATGAAACCCCTGCAGAGCTGGGCTCTCCCCCTCCCCCTCACCAAAATATCATTCGCTTGGATTTTGTAGGATTTTGTTGAAGGACAGCATCCTGAAGATAATGATAATGAAGATGATGGTAACGACCCACTCACTTGTTGATGCGAAACAAACTGATAATGATGATAATAATCATCATCATAATGATGATAATGATGATGATAATGATGATGGCAATGATGATGATGATGTCGATAATGATGATGATGTTAATGATAATGCTGATACTAAATACAACAAAAATAAACCAAGGAAAGTGGCTCTAGATTGGAGATACAGAAGTTCAAAATGTAAGAATTTAGGTATTAAAAATACCAATCAGCTTATTTCTAAGAGTTAAGAGATACGATGATTCTGGAATATTCTGGAATATTTAGAAATTTAGAAATTTAATTTTGATAATTAATTGGTAATTAATTAGGATATTATTTAAACAAAAAGAGTAGATTGCTTATTAGGATAAAGATAAGTATGAAAATTGGATGTCGATTAGCTCTGACATGATTGCCTTGCACGAGCAACCAGCACATGAGCAGGTAGCGTCGACATGCTAGTAGTCAGCGTTCGAGCAGCCAGCGCACGAACAGCCAGCACGCTAGTAGCTAGCACATAACCAACCATCATGCGCGCAGCCAGGGCACGAACAGCCATCACACTAGTAGTTAGCTCAGCCTCCAACACACACACAACCATGCTCACTGACCATATGGAGGAAGATTAGTTCTATTCGATAACATTGAAACAATAACAAAATAGACGAGAATTTGAAAAAAGAAAAACGTGAGATGCACCCCCCCTCCCTCTTTTCTCCAAGACTCTCACACTACCACATCTCCCCACTCTCCCTCCCCCCTCCTACATATTCAGCCCCTTCCCCAACCTCCCCTTCTCCACTTTCTACCATCCTCTTCCTCCTCTCATCTCCTACCCCGGAAACAGGGGGAGGGAGCAATGGCAAGCGAGGTAGAGATAAGGAGTAAAAGCGGAAGAAAGCAGAGAAACAGGAGAGAGCGAAGTAGAAGGGTACGAGAGAGGAGGGAAAGAAGGAGCGAGAAAGACTAACGATAAAAAGAGGTAACGAAGACTGGATGATAATGATGATGATGAAGATGCTACCCCTTCTAAAAGAATGTCTGACGATGATTATGATGATGATGATGATGACTGTTATCACCTGAACCCGCTTGATGATAACGACATAATGTCGCTGATGATGACGATATCATTTGCGCTGATGATGATAATGATCCTCACTGATAATGTTGCTGATGATGATGAAGGAAAAAAGACAACGATCAACTGGCAAACAAACCCCGAGTCACTGTCTTGTGACGACCCCTTGATTGTTCTTGGACAGCTTCCTCGAAGACCTCCCACTCATTGTCTCCCGACAATCCTCCTCCCACCCCACGGGACACATTCTGTTCTTCTCCTTCTYGCAGCAAGCCGACCTCCTCCACCCAAATTTGCAAGATGAAGTACAGAAATGATTACTCCTGAAGAATTACTTCCCTTCATGCGGCATGCTAACCTGCAGCATCGCTCTCATGAAGCGCGGAGCAGAGAGATGGCACTTAAAAATGCTTTCAAAAGCCAGGGGACAGCAAGTGATAAGGTTGTAGCCCGTTGTCGCCATCTTCACAGTATTCTCGCACCAGCGCCTCCCTCCCGTCGGCTGCCAGCACCGTGCCACGTGTCAGCCAGCATCTTTACTAGTCACCCCAAGCCAGCGCCTCGCCAGCCGCAAGTCACCAGCGCCCCACCACTCACCAGTTGCCAGCGCCTCGCCCCCTGCCAGCAGCCAGCGCCTCACTGCACTCACACAGCCAGCGCCTCACCACTCGCGAGAAGCCAGCGCCTCGCAACCTGCGAGAAGCCAGTGCACCGCCACCTCCGACCAGCCAGCGCCTCGCCTGCAAGCAACCAGCATGCCACCATCCACATGCCGCCCGCACCTCGCCGCCCGCCCGCCAGCCATAGCACTAGCGCTAATGCGCGCCCTCGCGCACCCAAAACCAAAAAGGTCTTGGCGTTGGCCAGGTGGTTACAAGTGTAAACCAACCGGGTCATGAGTTTGGAGAGAAACCCCTTGTCCTGCTCTTCCGGTGTTGCGTCGTCATGGCCCTCGGATGGTTCAAAGTGCCAGAACTTGAGCCTGTCGACGCGGTGGCTTTGTGCCGCTGCAGCAGATCCTGGGCCTGCTTGTGGCGGGCCAGGGCATCTGCGTCAGCTACGGCCTGAAGCCGCCGCTTTTCAGCCGCTGCCTCCGCTTCAACCTCTAGGCGGGCAGCCTCGGCTGCCGCCTGGCGCTGTTCCTCAACCTCAATCTGTGCGAGCTGATCTTGGATCCGCTGTTGGAATTCGGCAATCGACTCACTGGCCAGTTGGCCTGGTATGCCCAAAACTAGAACCGTCATGGTGGCGGGGCACTGCTGACGTGTCACTGCTGCCGCGGTACTGCTGACGTGGCACTGCTGCTGACGTGGTACTGCGCTGTCGTGGCACTGCTGCTGATGTGGCACTTACCAAATCGGAAATGCAGGCAAAGGGCTGGGTGGGAGGGAAAACACAGGAAGGTCACCAAACTGCACTTTCCATTCCCGGTCCTAATCAACAGAACAAAATAAATAAAAAAATAAAAGAAGAGGATCCCCCCCTTTTTTTTTTTTTTTTTTTGAAGATTTGTCGATCGGCTATGAGTGAGGCATTACGGACGAGTGTTATGAGCGAGATCTAGGCAAGGTTTCACAAAGTTTCGGCTTTCAAAAAAATGCGATCTTGAAAAAGAAATTTGCGCGAAATAGAATGGAGGTTCCACTTTCAGAGAAGAATAGATCCAGTTTCCGAGAATATCACAACCTCCCTAGTTCACCTAATATGACCAGAGTGCAAAAAAAATTTTAAAATTAAAAAAACGAAATGCTAATATCCGAATTTTTGGAGATCTGTTACGAATTTTTTCTTTTGAAGAGATTTGACGAAACCCTACTTGATTAACTAATGAACAATCAATCAATCAATCCATCAATCAATCAATCCATCCATCAATCAATCAACCAAGCTGCCTCCTTGATTGGGCGGATCCTCTGATTGAGAGGTCCGCTCCGATACCAAACTGTTGCATACCGTAACGGTGCAGACCAGAACAAGAACCGACCTCTCTCACATAGTACAGGATAGCACAGCGGAAGGCTAAAATTCCAAAGATCAGACCAATCAATGTCGCAATGCAGACGAAACATACATCATCATCATCGCGAGGTGTGAAGGGGCCTGGCGCTACACACAGGAAGAATGCGGCAGGTTCCAACCATACACAGATGAGGAGGGGGATCAGACGAAGAAGAGGGAGAAGATGGGAATGTCGTCACACAAGTGTCACTGGTATCGATCCCAAATAGTCCCTCGTCAATGTCTCAGTCCCAATGTCGAGTCTGTATCCAAATGTCGTCAACATCCCAAAGTCACAAATCTCTCTCTCTCTCTCTCTCTCTCTCTCTCTCTCTCTCTCTCTCTCTCTCT